CTAAGCGGGCCAGTCAGGCTTCCATATAAACAGGCCCTAAGTAATTTAATGAACAGACAAAGACTGTTGACAAAGACAAAGACAACTGACTTGGACATTTGACTCGGACTCGAATTCGACTCGGTTAACCGATAAACTCCGAAATGAAATAAAATTCACAGTCAAATAGGGCATAAATATGAATAGGGTTAGGGTGCGTTAGGAGCTGGGTGAGAGTTAGGAGTAGGGTTGAGATTAGGGCTTGTAAGTTTCAAAATTTTCTTGGGGGCATGCCCCCAAATCCCCAGGGTGCAGAGAGCTTACTTCATCTCAGCACCAGCCCTCCCAATCGTAAAATTTCTGTGTGTTCCAGAGTAGGTACTGACAACAACACCAGAAAGCTGTGGATTGAGAAGGGTTTGCAATAACACCAGAAAGCTGCAGATTTACTTGCATTTTCAGGAAGTTGAATCCCTCTCCTGACAAGGCATTTTTTAATACCATGGGCTGGTGGGGCATTTGCCCCACTGGGCCCCTTCCTCTGCCCCACCATTAAAGAAAAAAATGGCCTATTGCCCCAAAGCCAGGGCCCTAGGACCTGTATTGAGTAAATGAGTTTAACATTGAAAAGTTTAAAAAACAAAATTTGTTGGTGAGCATACTTAAACTTATGTTATGTTTGAATGTTTAGCATGCAATTTATTGCAAATTTCACCATTAAAACTTTGTTTTGAAAAGCTGAGATTTTTTTAATGTGTTCTCAGAATGCGGGAAATGCTATTTCAGAGACCCAAATTTTAAAAATTTCCTGGGGGAACTAGTCTCCCTCGCAGACGTTCTTATAGCTCTAACCCTCGGGTTAGAGCAATAAGAACGTCTGCGAGGGAGACTATGGGGGACATGCCCCCAGCTTCAACCCCGCTAGCTAACTCGTGCCTGCGGTACTCTGCTCACACCTTCGGCGATCACATACTATGCTGGGAGAGGCCAAGGAAAATGGGCTTTTTGGCAGTTTTGCCCCACCACTGAAGAATCCTTAAAAAAATGCACTGTAACACGCGCAATAACGCCACAAATGCAATAACACCAGAAAGCTGCAGATTTACTTGCATTTTCAGGTAGTTGAATCCCTTTCCACCCGCAGCTTTCTGGTATAAATACAGTCTGAAGTCACTCAGAAATGTCAAAGTCGCTACGAATAGTGATTATTAATGTTGCAATCTGAATATTTTGACACTGAAAATGGAAATGTGATCAATAAATCAAATGCTAAAATAAATGTCAATAAATCAAATGCTAAAATAAACCACGTTATGATCTTGAATCTTCTTCATTCTGGTTTAATATTTGCAATGATCAGAGGGAATAACAACTTCTGGCCATACGGTAGCATTTCCCCCTTGTGGTAGTAACTTCTAGTCGCATATAAAAGACAATAATCGAAAAACGTTTCAAAAATCCAAAAAGAACCAACTTCAGAAGTTGATAAAATGACGTAATGTCAGTTTGATAAATGGAAACAATTAACCGTTTTTCCGGTTACAATTTCATGTCACGCAGTCACAAAATATGATTAGTTAGCTGAGTTAGCAGGTTAGGGTTAGGTATAGTTAGGGTTAGGGTTAGGATTAGGTTTCGTGTTGCGTGACATTTCCCACGTCGCGGATGCGCTAGATCGTTACTTCCGTTAAACGTCAAACCGCTGTAATTTTATTTTTATTTTAGCTTTGCTACCTAGGGCAGAGTCACCACAACAGCATGTGCCAATTACTGTGGGTCCTTTTACCTTTTGCATATTTAATGCATAGACACAATACAAAAGAAATAAACCGAAAAACATTTCCCGATTTTAGTGCCGTAGCAAGCTCTTTTTTATTGGGGGGGGGGAGCTGAAAACGAGGGCTGAAGGTCAGAGAAAATTTTTAAATTTAGAGTCTCTGAAAGCTGAAATGCCATTTCCTGGACTTTGGAGAAGATTGGACAGAATTCTGATGGTCAGAAAACAGCGTTCTAGTATGTCGAAATTTACAATTAATTTGTTTACAATTTCGAAGTACTAAATGGGCAAAGGTGTATTTAATTAACTACCGTATATATTGGATAAGTTGCAGGAAAGTATGGGTATTATCTTCATTCTTTGCAGTTTGTCATGGATAATGTAGCCGCTTAAAATTAATCAATTGTCAGTATTTTAAAGGGTATATTATTTAAATGATAAAGGTCTGCGTGTTTTTGAAAAGAGAATGATTATTAGCAAATTATTTCATATCTGGGGGCTGCAGCCCCAGCCCCCGGTTGCTACTGCCCTGGATTTAGGATTTGTACAGTGTTATCCATGTAAATGTAAAGATTTCGTGGATCACTTTATACTGACAACAAAATTCTATAATATTTTCTCTGTTTAACAACTAAAATTTCGTTATAATAATATTATTGTCGGAATTTTCCGAATCGCCAACCCGATTTTCCGAATATGTTAATTTTCAAAAAGTAGGGGGGTTAACCACCCCTCCCTTTCCAATACTCCCCCCTCACTACGGCTCCAATTAATAATTCATGAAGAAAACACAAAGAAAAATCATAAGCGTGTCGTATCTGTATATGTGATACAGATTCATGTTGATTTACATGAACCTTTACATGAACGGCTTAGACAACGTTTATTTTAAAAATTGCTTCGCCAATGAACTCATACGATGAGTCGTTTTTTAAGTCGCGTATATCCGATACAACACGGCCGCTCATGTTGTAAATAGTACATATAGCCGCGTAGCCATGCAGCCAAGGGTTTTTGTATCTGCGAATGCAGATGTATTGCTATGGTGCGCGTACCGGAAGTTTGTAAGCGTGCTTATAGCCAATCAGTGACAGCGTATAGATCAAATGACGTAATGATAATAATTTCAAACTGGCGGTTTATTGAAGGGTGAAACAAAGAGAAATTTTAAAATTAAGAAAAAAATTTAAAATTAAACATCAAACGCAGTCAAAACAACGTCATTTTACTAGTCTAAATATGGCAAAGGTCGAGAGGGTATTTTTGGCAAGTATTTGAAGGGGTTTCATCATTTAATAGTAAATACGCAGTGCAAACGAAATGATTCGCAATTTTTATAGACATACAAATTATTGACTAATCGGGCATTGAGATACTATTATGAAATTATGAAAGTAATCATTCTTCCAGATCTTACCATTGACATTGTAACAACCAAACAACATGCGAAAAACTACTTGGTGTGCACATGGATGACTCACTCACATGGAACACCCATATTTCTCACGTTATCAAGAAATACAACAACAAACTTGAACTTGTGAAACGAGCCAAACCTTACCTTACACCCAAGCTCCGCCTTCTCCTTTATAACAGCATAGCAAAGCCGACACTCGAATATTGTTGTAGCGTTTGGGGTAATTGTAGTACAGACGCTCTTGGACGTGTAACATCTGCCCAAAAACGTGCCGCGAGGATTCTACTAAACGCTGATTACACTATCCCATCAATAACCTTATTCAAAGAAATCAACCTTATCCCAATTCATGACACCATTCGCCACCGGATCCTACTACAGACGTTCAAATGCATACATGACATCAGTCCACCATGCCTCAGCACCCTCATGGAAAAACCAACCCACCACCATTCAACAAGAGCTATTGCGAATAATAATGTACACATCCCAAAAGCAAGATCTAACGCAGGAAAACGACGATTTTCATTTATAGCATCTACCTTATGGAACAATTTCCCTAACGAGGCAAAGAAAATAACATCGCAGCCGTCATTCAACACATATTGCAAGAGTTACTTTAGTCAGAAACTCGTGAGTTCAACTAAACTTAACAGCATAAGGCTTTATTAAGATATCCAAAAATATCATCAGTAATAATTGTTTAATATAAGTATATAGTCCAATAAGTATCAGTGACAGTGTATTCGCTGTTAAGAACATTTAGTGTTTGTTTGTTTGCATGTTTTCTCTTTGCTGCCGAGCGTAGCGAGGCAGCACACTATTCTTAACACGCTGTGGTTTCTCCAGAGTCCACTCGACCCAGTCTTTCGCGCGATCTATGTATTGTCGAAATCTCGATCTTGTGTCTGTCGGGATTTCGAATTTCCGGGGAAATAATTAAGCTCTGGTACCTTAATTATTTTGAGGGGGGAGGTCGAGATTGTTTTTCTATTGTGCACGCATGTTTTCTTCAATGTGCTCGAGAACAAGACGACAAGTCAAGACTCAAGGTTTTTAAAAACGAACGGCAAACGATGGAAAATATTCAGAAAAATCAGGTAGGTATGGCTTTATTTCTTTCTGCTTATATACATCAAGGAAATGACCTTTTTAGTGCCCAATCTAGAGGCAAACAGTATGCTTTCATGAGTTTATCGGCAATTTTAACAGCCAAAAATATGCCACTGATCGATTGGTCAAAAACAGCATTTAACAATGTCTTATTACAAGAGGACAAAATGTACTTAAGAGCTCTGAATAACGGCTTAATTGTCTTAGAACCAAGTATTGAGTTCTTGTCTGTAGATAACTTACCAAAAGTAATTGTCAGTGTTTAATGTTGTAGGAACATGTTTTTGTATGAGATTGATCTGATGTCACAAACAAGTAGTGCACAAAGTATATATAAACATTAATGTTACCACCAGCTTAGGGCCATCCCAACTAACGACTGGGGCAACAATAATTAACATTAAACCAAGAAAAGTACCAAAACTTTATAAAGAAACATGAATATATTCCAAACCAAAACACACTAAAACTATATTTTTGTCTCTCGAGCACACTTTCATCCGGGAATCTTCGGGGCTTTTCCCCGGGATCCCGGGACCACGTACGCGTTCGTATTTCGCATAAACATCTGAACATCCTCCCCCCGTGATCGTTGGTCATTAGAAGGACGATCACTCCTCGAGTGTTGCAATCTTTGTTGCTGGTCTCCTGAATACTCCAAACTTCGTTTTCACATCAACACTGCGTACTATCTTGTCAGAACCTCGGTAGACTTCAATAATTCTTCGTGGCTTTACAGCGAAGGATCCAAAACTGCTGTCGAAGCTCGTTTCGAACATTGTCCACTCCCGCGTGTCCAAGCTTGTTGTGGGTATCCATGACAATTAGTTTGGTTAGATCACCACTAGAATCCAATACGATCGGATGCCGAGTAACAAAAGGTATAGCAGCCTTTCCAATGCGACCACCAACGCGTATTATGTCATCTTCGTCTAAGAAGGGTGTCAAAGATACTAATTTACTTTGCTTGTGCACAGGACGTCCACGTTTAAGCTCTCTAAATTCCGAAGTGAATGTTTTAATTTGCTCTTGGCGAATCAGAGTTTTCTTTGCTTTTTCGAGTTCTTCGACTAACGGACTACCAAACGTTCTTTCAGACACGGGTACTTTGCAGTTACGCAGTAATCGTTGTACATACACCATAACAGTCAACGCGCGAGAGTACGAAGAGTATCTGGCAAGGTTAACTAGTTCTTCCGGTTCACTCTGAGTCGTCACTTTTCCGGTAAACTGAACATCGCTTTCAGTAACAACATCTGGAATGTTATCGTTGACCACTCGGTTTGTAACGTCTTCCGGCCATTGTGACTCATCAAGCAAAAGGAACTCGGGTCCCGTAAGCCATCGATTACTTGTCGTAATGGATAAAACTGGCAGCCCTCGAGTACCATCGTCCGCTGGGTTCAACTTGCTTGGGCAGTAATGCCACTGACTGGCTTCTGTCGCATCCAAAATCTCACTTAGCCGATTTGCGATAAATGACGGGTGTCTTGTCGAAGTTCCACGTATCCAATGCAGTACAGTTGTGCTGTCAGACCAAAAGTGAATCTTTGTAGTCATGCTCTTTGATAATCACACTCGCTAATCTCACACACAGGACTGCAGCTTGCAACTCGAGTCTCGGTATGCTTAACTTCTTTGTTGGTGCCACGCGAGTTTTTGCGATCACGAAAACACACTTTACTGATCCATCGGCATATTTAAACCGTAGGAATCCAACCGAGCAAAACGCTAATTCACTGGCGTCCCCAAAGATGTGGACTTCAATATCTCCTGGGTACTCATCAACCTGTCTATAGAATCTTGGAACTGAAAATTCCCTGATCATGAGCAACTCCGCTTCCCATAGTTGCCATTCTTCCAACAGATCTTGTGGTAGAATGTCGTCCCAAGCCAATCCAAGTTGCCAGACTCTTTGAAGAAGAATTTTCGCTCTCACCAAAAATGGCGCTAAGAAGCCAAGAGGATCAAACAGTGATGCCATAATACTAAGAAGTTGCCTTCTGGTTTGCGCTGAAGGCTTTTTCTTGACAATGAACACAAAATTATCTCTTTGTGTGTCCCAACCAACACCAAGTGCTCTCTCGACAGGCATGTCCGTACACTCGTTCATTGTCTTAACAGATACAGCTCGTTCGGTTTCCGGTACCTTCTCAATTACACGACGATCGTTGGAAATCCACTTTGTTAGACGAAACTTTCCCCTCTGGCACAGCTCAACCAATTCATTGCAAAGCTTAATAGCTCTCGTTACCGAATCAACAGACTTAAAGAAGTCGTCCATGTAGAAATTACGTTCAACAGCAGCGGCTGCATCAGGAAATTCGTGTTCGTTATCCTTGGCATTTCGACAAAGTGCATAATTAGCGCAGGTAGGAGCACACTTAGCTCCGAATATATGCCTTTGATATTGGTAAGTTTCTGTGTCCGAGTCAGTAGAATCACGCCACAAGAAACGTAGTACCGTTTGATCCTCTTTCGGCACAGCGACTTGACTAAACATTGCTTCAATGTCCGCTGATAATGCAATCTTTTCTTCACGGAATCTCATAAAAATTCCCGTTAAGGAATTAAGTAGATCAGGACCAGTTATAAGATGATCGTTAAGTGAGGATCCTTGATATCTACAAGCAGCATCGCAAACTCGTCTAACCTTTCCAGGCTTATTTGGATTCAAAACCGGATGATGCGGTAAATACCATTGCTTCTCTTCAGTAGCACCTTCATTAAGAACAATCCTTTTAACATATCCTTTCTCCAGGTCCCTATGGATAGTCTCTTTGTATGCTTCAGCGAGGTTCGGATCACGTTGTAATCGCCTTTCCAACAATGCAAGGCGATGTTCAGCTACTGTTCGATTATTCTGCATAGATCCACCATTCTTCCAGAGGAGTGGAACTTCATATCTACCATCGACTTTCTTTGTTGTCTCTTCCAGGATCCGCATTGCATTCTCATCTTCAACCGACCTTTGGGTTTCCACGTCATACTTGCATCCAAATTCCTCAGTACGCCACCACAACTTTACTTGGTTGTGAAGCTCTTCATCAGGTGAACGAACATAAGTATGGAAGATACCCTCGGATGTCCGAATATAACCCGGAAGAGGTCCAGTTATCGTCCAACCAAGCTTTGTACGAATTCCAACTGGAGTTCCTCTAGGACCACATCGTGTCGCAATGGGTAAGATAATGTCTAGACAGTCACTACCAATAAGCAACGAAACATCACAACTACTCGCTTCCGGTATGTCTATTTCCTTTAGATGCGGCCATTTAGACTTTACATCCACCAAGTTCACCTTCTGCTGGGCAATATTCAAGTGCTCAACAACCAATGCTCCGTTCACATCAAAACGTGGTGTCACCATATTGACTGCACTTACTTGAGTATTAACTCGTCTCGAATTCAGTTCAGAAGTTCCCTGAATTCCATTCAATATAATTCGTTCCTCTGAACCTTCCAAACCAAGTTTTTCAGCAACACTAGATAAGACCAAACTGCATGTACTACCACTGTCCAGCATTGCATGGGTGTTCAAATATCCATTTGGACCATGTACAGTGACAGGTATAACCTGGAGTAAGACCGGCATACCCCTTTTGACCTGCGAACATTGTTTACTTTCAAACGTTGCTCCAATGTTCTCTTCTCTTTCAGGTGGTTTATTTCCAGAGCCAGGTTCCTTATTTTCCATTCTGTGTAAAAGACTGATGATATCCTTTGCATCCATTTATTTGACACTGCTTTCTTACAGGACATTTGTTTGACCAATGTTCCTTACTTAAACAGCAAAAACACAGTCGATGTTTCCTAACTTCCACAAGTCGGTCTTCGACAGATAAACTCTTGAACTTCGCACATTCACTAAGGCTATGTTTACTTCCATCCAACATTATGCATGATAATACAGTTTGATTTTCTCCTCTATTTGATGGGCCATACTCATAGATATCTCATATACACTAGATAGCGCATCTCGGAATACAAAACTGAAGCCAAAAATCTCAGCGGTTTCCCCCATGAAAATAGGCGGCGGCCATATTGGTCGTTCCCACTCATCAATGAAATGCTATAGAAAATACTATACTTTTCGAGGCTTTTTTGCATTTCTGGATTAAACATACCTTTTTGAGGTACGTTCGCCTTGAAATCGCAGCTTTTTTGGAAAAGGGTACAAGAAAAAAACATTAATTGGCGATGTTGTTGTCTTTGAATCGCATTTTAAAGCTAAAAATTTCGAATTACGACATTGGCTTTATATACTTGTTTTGAATCTGTGAGTGATTCTCTGGTGAAGTATCGTCTAATCAATACATGTACTTACGGTTTCTGGCACCACTTTATGGAAATGGAAGTTGGTAAGTAACGTTTCGACTATCGGCGTAGGCAGTTTATACTGTAAAGTTTTCACTGTAATGAAATGTTTGAGACAGTCTGAGTCTGCACTTTCAGCTTGGGTAGTTTTCACTCTAAATCTTTAGTGAAACGTTTGAGACAGAGTTTGCACTTTCAGCTTGGGCAGTTTTCACTATAAATCTTTAGTAAAATTATGTTTGAGGCAGAGTCTGCACTTTCAGCTTGGGCAGTTTCATAGTAAATTTTAGTAATATTTAGCTTTCTCTGATACATTTTGTGTAATCACTCACACTGGTGCTTAAAAGGTACAAGTTTATTTAATTTCTTTCTAATTTTTTGTCCAGATGAATTCTCAGTGGTCTTTTTTGCAAGATGGTAAAATTTAACTTCACAGTAACTCTTGATGATGCTCTTGGTCAACTGAAATATAACATGATTTTCACCAACTGGTGAGTCAAAAATATGGTGATCTAGCTCAGTAAAAAGATTGTATATGGACAATGAAGCCAGAACATATGGACAATGAACAATGAAGCCAGAACAGAAGTGGTCAGAGCATATAAGTGTCTGCTTTCTGAGAACAGAACAGTATGGACAATGCAACCAGAACAAAAGTGGTCAGAACATATAAACATCTGCTTTTTGGGTGACCACTTTTCTTGATGAACATTTTGTATCAACTGTTTTCATAGTACTTCATCCTTAGGGATGTTTATCATGTTAATGCAAGTCTAATTTCAATCAATATAATAGTATACTGTAAAAAACTAAAAATAAATTGCTTACTGATGAAATGTCCTGGGAAGTTTTCTTTTGATTTTTGATTCTGTCACTTGACCCTTCACTATTACTTCTTATACTTTTTGCATCAGGAATGACTTTACCCATTGCTATGAAATTTTCTGAGTTTAATTCAAATTTTTAATTTCAATTGGCACCAAAACTTCTTCAGGTCTCCAAATTTTTTTTTAAAATTGGACATTTTTTAATGATATTTACAGTAACCACTAAACTCAAAAGGCAAAAATTGAGAGTTTATCATGTTTTCAATTCCTGAGAGTACTGGCAAATTTATTTTATTTTTTTAGAAAAGTTTAATTATTGTGCATCTGATGAGTCAAAGAATTAGAAAACACTATTTATACACAAAGTCAAAAGTAATACTTTATTATAACAATAGAATTATTTATACAATAGTGAGTGCAACTATATTTAAGATTATAAAATCTACTGTGCATCAAGCAGTTTATCCCATTGACCTTACAATATACAATATACAATATACAATAATGCAAGAAGTAATGTGTCTCATTACAAAATAGGGTTTCCCAAAGCAGTTCTAAAATTCAGCTGATTATCAATGGCCTATGCTGTTAATAATTACAGTAATTTAGCAGTTTGATTGCTTGAATTAAAAACAAAAGGTCTAGGACTCAACAGAAAGAAATATTTCTTAACATCAAATATTAAAGATAGTTTGAAGCATTCATACAATTGAAGGTTTTAGAAAGTTTGATTATCAACTACATTTACATAAAGCAATATCAATTATGTTATATTGCCTGCGAATATACTAAGTTGCAATTATTCTTCTCTAGCTTCTAACACATTTTAATCTTGATATGATTCCATGGAACTATAAAATAATATATGATATGTTGTATGTATGTAATAAATATACAAATAGTAAGGAGTAAGAACCATTTTTGGTATCAATGTTTTATATATTGACTATTTAAGATTTTATAATTAAAGTCTATTTTTGCCATTGATAAACTGTGACTAAAATATGTTTTTCAGTGTCGCTGTCTTTTACAAAAGAATATGCAAATACATTCACAATTTTGCCATGAAGCAATGGCGATGGCTCAAAATGTTTTATTTGGAATTGGTGGAACTATATTTATATATACATCAACAATGATGGTTTGTCCATAAGGTTTGTCCTATGGGCGCCCTTCATACGGGTCGACAAATATTGATATTTTCGAAAAAAAAAATTAAATTCTGCCTACCCGTTATTCACAATATGAAGCTCCAACGATCTGGCATCATTTACAACAAGTTGCACACTTGAAAAACCAAAATTGACTGCATAAAAGAGGATTTATTGTCAACTTTGTTCATTTCCGCAATACAAAATATACAAATTATCACGCTCCGTGGGAACGACCAATATGGCCGCCGCACGTAAACTGCGACTGCGATCAGGCTTCAATTTTCGCCTGCCTACAGGCTGGGATGCGCTATCTAGTGTATATGAGATATCTATGGTCTGGTTGCAGTATTGAGAACCTGGGTACGAGGTTGTGCTTGATACTGTAAAACCCTGGTCAAACGAGAATGAGTACTAGTATTGATGAGAGTTAAACCAGACCTGTCAACTCTCCCGGTGCTGCCGCGGAAGACTCCCGGTTTTGACCTTTTTCTCCCGGTATCAAGGTATTTTCTCCCGGTTGCTTGTTTTAATTGTTATGAGAATATGAGGTAATGCATGGAATATTTTCCAGATACAAATATCTGGCAAGAAATAGTAATCGTGTGAAAATCTCTCGTGTCCAAGCTCTGAAACTTACTCCATGAACTACAAGTGGCTTTTTTTATTTACTTTCGCACTATAAGTGAGGGTCCTGAAGAGGGGGGTCGTATTCCCATTTCCCAGCCCAAATTTTGACTAAATCCCATTGTCCCAGAGCACAAATCCCATCAACTCAGTGGCTGTCCTGCTCAAATCTTAATCCCATTCCCATTTTCTATTGTTTTTTTGCTGATGAATCCCAGTGCATGAAATCCCATTTTCCCACCCAAAAATAAGCAAATCCCAGTTCCCATTTTACCCCTTCAGGACCCTCGTAAGTGATAAGTAGATTATTGTAAGGATATGAGATGTAACATGGGTTCTCAAAAACTAGTTGCATTAATTCCTGCCATGTTAGCATTAAATTAAATTAAACAAGCTGTTGAAGCGAAAGTAATTATAATAACTATAAAGCCGGGAAAATTATTAGAATTTTTTACTATTTTGAACACTGCATATGACTTGCAAGGGCTAAAAAGCAAAATCTCCCTGTTTTAAAATTTGAAGGTTGACAGGTCTGGAGTTATGAAGAGAGAGTTCGTACTACAGTTTTATCAACTCTCATGCCCCGGTCAAGCGAGAACAAGAGTTGCATAAGGGGCCGACCATTTAACTTTTGAGGGGGGAAGCACTACTGCTGGCAGGGATTTTTTTCTCGGCTCGTTATGTGCAAGATATTTTTTTCAGCCCATCACCATGTACGATCTTTTTTGCCACACTTTCTTTCGCAGCATTTTTTTTCAATAGCTTATACTATTTAGATTATTTAATTATAGTTAACGTTGACTTTTCTAGCTTCATGCATTGCTTAATAATACATATTGCTATGAGGTATAACATTTGGTTCAGGGCCTTTTGTAAGGAAGTGTAACTGGAGAGGACATAATTAGCGGGAGACCTGAACAAGTTCCAGTCGGCAAGTCTTTATTCAGGGCCGTAGCTAGCATTATAGTTGGGGGAGGGAGTGTAGGCCAAAAATTTCCGAATGACGAAAATCAATTTCCGAATATATCTTGGCATACTAAGCCACGAAGATGTTTGCTATTCGGAAAATGAAGACGCAATTTACAAACAAAAATACGCATATTTTACGCACAGACATTACAGAAGCAGTGCGGTAGGGAGCTTTTGTTTATTGGGGCCAGAAAACGAGGGCCGGAGGCTCGAGGAAATTTTTAAATTTCGAGTTTCTGAAATGCCATTTCCTGGACTTTGGGGAAGTTTTGACAGAATGCTGATGGTCAGAAAAAAGCGTTTTAGTATGTCGAAATTTACAACTTGCTTACAATTTATAGTTACAATACAATTTTATAATATTTCCTCTGTTTAACAACTAAAATTCTGTTCTACTATTATTGCCGTAATTTTCCGAATAGCCAACCCGATTTTCTAAATATGTTGATTTTAAAAAAGTTGGGGGGTTAACCACTCCCCAATCTGTATCACTGCAGCTACCTACAGTATATATATGCATGGTTTAACTAATAAGCATACGTCATAGGGCAGCAGCTCAGGCCATGCTTAACTAGGACTCTGAGACAACTGAGTCGACCACCAAAGGTGCGAGCCTCTAGAGGGGTCCGGGGGCATGCCCCCCAGAAAATTTTGGATTTTTTGAAGCTCAGATTGGATTTTGGATTTTTTGAAGCTATTTCCAGCATTTTGAGGAGTTTTCCAACAAGAAATTAACCTTACACTGGTCCCTGAAAATCAAACCAGCTGATCTTCTCGGACTGGTCAAATCGATCCCTGCAACCATGCTGTTTTACAACATTTTTTTCCCACCAATTTTCCCCTCAAAAGTTAAATGGTCGGCCCCTAACTCATAAGAGTTGATGAGAGTTGACTGGATATTACTGGCCCGCGTAGCGAAAACTCTTATCAACTCTCATTAAAATTTGAACCAATTCAAAGTCAATGAGAGTTCACGAGGTTGCATCAGACTGATGAGAGTCGATGAGAGTTGGCGACTTGGCTGTCAAACGTATAAAGCAAGAGCAACTCTAATTTATAACAGTTTGCAAGATGAAGTTCTTGCCGTTGTAACCGCGTAAACCGCTGTACATGATAACAGGCAAGTCGGAAAGAGCCCCGCTTCGTATGGTCAGCGTCGGGATTCGGGAGTTTTCCATGTGTAAAATTTTTTAGTAATTTTTTGTAAATTTGTGTTTATGTGTTGATATTGGCGTATAATTTGTATGGTTGAAGAAAGTTGGTGGGATAACTATGTTTTTAATTTTGCTAACATATTTATAACGAGGTTATTGAACCAGTTGGACATCATTTACCTTGTGGTAAACTATGCCTGAAGAAACGTTATGTCAGGACGTCAGGGGAGTCGCTTCACTGGCGACATCTCATCAAAACAAGTACAGCGATGTTTCAGGCTCGGTTTCTGGTATGTTTGTTGGTTTATCATTGCTAGTTTGCTTTTTGTATGTACTAGACAGGAAGCTTCAGATTTATCAGGATGAAACTACCTGGAAAATTCAAGGAGAACTTCAACGTTTCAAGCGAGGAGAAATTTGGAACCTCGAAACATGGAGAGCTTCGAAACGTCGAAGTTTATTTTATTTTATTATTATTTTATTATTATTTTATTATTTTCCCCTATGTACAGATTTTAATAATTACAAAACAACTTTCTTCTAATGATATTGGGCTAGGGACCTACTAGAAACCTTTACAGGCTTTTTGGTTTAGGCCCCTAGTTGTAGTTGTGGTTCATAATGAGGTTAATTAATATACTAATTTTACAGTTAAAGATAATGAAAAAAGTAATTTTTAGAATATATGCTATTAACAAAAGAAGGATGATAAAGCAGGAGTACTAAATAAAAGATTTATGTTAAAATATCAATAAAATATGAAGACCGTATAATTTTATACATGATTCAGTAAAAAATACTGTTTCATTTCTTTCTTGAAGACATAGGAGTTTGTGCCTTTAAATTTTGGTTCTAAAGAATTCCAAATATCAATTCCTTTATTAGATAGACTGTGTTTTACATAGTTTGTTCTCTTATAACACTTGTAGAGTTTTGACGCATTTCTCGTGTTCTATTGATGGATCTGATTATTTGTTACAAAATAATTTTCAAAAACTTCTGGTAGATTCTTAAGATGGTGGTAACGAAACATGAACATGGCAGTTAAATAATCATTTATTTTGAAAATATCTAGGATGCCTAATTCTTTGAAAATAGTCTCAGTATGTTCCAAATACGATTTAAATAATTTGCCTTGTATTGGGCTATTACATTTAAATACCAACCCCCCCCTGTCGAAGACCTCTGCTTTGGGGACTCCTCTGGAATGCAAAAAAGTTTGTGTAATTGACCCCTTTGGACAAGACGTGAATCCTGTCTGGAAGTGCAATTTTGCATTTTAACCCCTTGGAAACAACATTTTTCTCCCATTTTCCCCAATTACCCATCTGGAAAAACCAACTAATTACCTCCCTTGGAAATTGAGGTTGTCAACAGGGGGGGGGGGGAGGTGTGTTTGGGTATTAAATGTAATAGTCCATTTTCCAGGTAGTTGCATCCTAATCAATCTGAAGCTTCCTTATTATTGGCACTAGTGCACTACCTACACTAGCACAGACTGTTGCCCAGACCGAGCTGATGATATTTGAACATTATTTAGACTATCAATTTTGAATAAATAGTGATGTTTCAAAAGCAAAATCTGTGCCATTTTCAAAGATTTTTCCTGTTCTCCAGCAGGTCTTAGAAATTTATATGTCCTTTAATTTAAAAGTCATTGAATTTCAATGGAAAAATCATTTAATTTCATCTACACTAAAGGGTGGAAACCCTGGTTTTAACTGGGCCTTAGGGGTTGCATCCATAATTAAATTGTCACGAGAAATGTCTATATTTCTCTTTTCTTTCATGGATACCGTATTCCATCATCACATTAGGTCATTCCAGAAAACATCCATACTACCCCCACAGAGGAAATAGGAAGTTAACCCCCCTACCCCCTTCGGATATCCTAATACATATACTATTATCAGAAACAATTTTTTCACCCCTCCCCCTCCGGATGGCAGAAATTTCCTCCTTGAGGGGAGTGTGGATCTTTTCTGGAACGACCCATTACGGTGATCTGATAGGCTGATATATTCACGAATGTACCAATGGATTAATTTTAGGAAAGAACACTGATGTCACGAATACCCATCTGCTAGAACATGTTAAATATGACTTCTATAAAAAGGTACAGGATTACAGACTTTTGATGACAGGTTATACATACTTTGCAGTAATACTGTGTATTTAACACATTGAGCTCACCAGCACTTTCTTCTTGACGAGTAAACCTATCTGGCATTAGGGCATGTTCATAGGAGCTGAGTTGACCCAGCAAACTGGGCTGGCTCACAAGTGGCAAGATCTTGCCTCATATTCATTTTTATATGTTTTTGAGATTCAATACACATCGGAACCAGACCACCCCGGTTTGCTGTATTCCAGCGTTTGAGCAAGGCAAGATCTCATCTTCCCGGGCCTATACGAATGCACTTAGTGGGTCAGCTCGGCAAACTGGACTGGAAATTGTATCACAATGCATTTGTTCCATCTACAAAGTGTTTAAAAACTAGTAAGGAATCAACAATCAACAAAAATATCATTTGGGGGATAAAAACAAATTTAATATCACATTCCCACCAAAAGTTGTGCAATTTAATTAATATTTAATTTATAAACTTTACAATCAACAAAACAATTGAAGGTACAGACAACAGGACTGAGGAGTCCCAAATTAACTCCTACCTACACATTACATTGACATTGTAAAACAATAGAGACAGGTTACAAATTTAACAAAGCTACAATACAAAATTACAACAATCAATGCGTTGCAAACCATCCTTACACTTTCCAAAGTTAATATGAACTAGACATGGACCGCCCATATATTGCAATCCTTTCTAGGTCAATTTACTGCCTTAAAATGAAGAGACCTGAAATTTGCAAAGAAGGTTTGGGAAATGATCAAGTTACAAAAAAAGATTTATACTGTACACATAAATGAGTCAACATTGTGCAGTACAGACACAGTTACAGAGTACAGTAAACATCCTAAACATGCATGTACTCCAAGCTGTCCCTGCATTTTCCAAAGATAGGATTCCAAGAACATAGACCGCCTGCGGTGTTGTTTTTACCTGTGTGTTTAATTTAATTTATTCAAACAGACTGAAACAAAAGACATTTTGGAAATACAAAGACAGCTTGGAGAGTTCTCAACTATCATGAATAACAAGTAATAGAACAACAAATAATAGAACAACAAATAATAGAACAACAAGTAATAGAAAAATTTCTGTCGCAGTTGCGAAGAAAAATTAAATGGGAATCTCATGAAAAATTTGAAAAAGCCCTTCTGTCTGCTAGGCATATTTGCATAAGCAGTGCTGAATGCATGCAGCATCTTCCACAAACTGATGTTAACAAGTTTCTTATTCCATTATTTTACCTCCCATGATCATGTGAAAAACCCTCAATTAATATCCAAGCATCATGTTTTACACAGGGTTCAGATCTGTTGACTGTTGTGGTGTATGTCAAAGAAATTGATAAAGAGTCGTTGCAAGTTAACTTTGAGGTTAAGGCTTTATGCTTGAAATTTCAAACCAGGTAAATACTTTAGATATTGTATGGCTGTCTCGCTGTACTGATAGCTTGGTTGGTTGGAGGACTCCACCAGAATCGCAGTACCACAGATTCAATTCCTGGCGGAGGGTTGATAACTGCTCCTGGTTAGGTCTAATAAATATATAAAAATTCTACTTGAAATTCCCATCAACAAATTCCTTCAACAATGAACACATATAAAAATTTTCCGTGTTGATATACAGTTATATCAACACGAGTGGAATTGGGAAAACCAGAAATTGTATGGAAACACGAAGGGCGGAGTGTTTTCATACAATGGGTCATTCCAGAAAACATTCATACCACCCCCACAGAGGAAATAGGAAGTTAAACCCCCTACCCCCTTCGGATGTCCTAATGCATTTATTATTATCAGAAACAATATTGTCTCCCCTCCCCCTCCGGACGGCAGAAATTTTCTCTGTGGGGGGAGTATGGATCTCTGGAACAAACCAATGTCGAGTTTACCCAACTTCCACAAGTGTTGATATAACTATATATCAATACGGAAAAAATGTTGCATATTTTTTTTATAATATAGCAATGTGAAAAGCCCGAAGGATAAGAAAAATTTCCGTGTTTACAAGCGGCGGAAAATTTCCCGTGTTGACATTGAGTTATATCATCAACACGGCTCTTAGCCAATCAGCGTTCAGAATTTGCAAATGCTATATTATAATTAGTTATATCAAGTGAGATGCCTAAAATCCTGATATTTACCTGAAGAGTATGCCAAAAACAATAGGGAACCACCTTAAGAAAATAAACGAGATGATGTTTGCTTATTATAATATTGTTACTTACTGTACCTGAAGATCCAAAGAATTCCTGAAGTTGCATGACCAAGTGTCTGAAGACACAGTTTTTGAGTGGAATGTTCATTTGAGGTAAGTTGTATATCAACAAGCATTGTTAATAGAAATACATTGTAACTACTGCAGCTTAACTACTAATAACTACTGCAGCTTAATTACTAATAACTACTGCATTGTACTATATGTGCAAGCTTTCTCATTTTTAATTGGCTGCATGATAGTATTTCCTCTCCTCGTGAAATACTTTTTTTACCACGTTCTTCTTGCCCAACTTAATCATAATGAGGTCAACTTAATTTTTATTGTAATACATTTTCAACAATGTAAAATTTAGTGTAAAAAAGGCGATTTTGTAGCATTTTTTAAAATTTTTAAAATTTTCTTTTGAAATTGAGTACAAACAGTTTTGTCCTAGTGCAGTTTTACGATTAGTTATATAAACTTTATTACGATGTTTGCCCCAAAAGCTAGAGGGCCCATATAATACAAAAAAGGATATATAAAATTATTTACACAAAAAAGTCAGTACAGTACGAGGCGTATAGAAACAATAAACAAAATAAGACAGTGTTACAGAAAAGACACGACACATAAACGCACAAAGCATTGCTAGGAGAAACGAAAAGTATTCAAAATAAAACGGTGGACAGCACCGAACAATAAAAAATTTTCGTTACTGTAAAACTTAATTGAGCAAAACCGTTCAATAAAAATTCAAGTTTTCCATTGTCGGTGCTCGTTAGCCATGCTTTTCCACAAACTTGTGCCGCAGAGGTTAGTAGTTCATTACGTTGAGCAGCAAAACGAGGACATGATAAAAGATAATTTTTAACTGTATCATTTTGTTGGCAACATAATACGTACATAAAGGAGAATTACGATAATGAATTCCATATATCGACTACATACATTGCATTTTGGTTTCATGTTTGTACTGTGTTTTGTATATAATTGGTCTTTTGTATATAAACTACCTTTTTATTTCTATAATAGACACCAAATTGACTGTAAAAACTGCAAGTATGCGATAGCGAAATCAAAGCTGACAATGACGTTAAAAAAAGCTTGTGTAAAAGATCAATGGAATTCTTTGGAAGAACTTAATATGAAAGGTACAGTATTACGATATATCGTACAGTATATATTACGTGTAAGCTAGGAATGTTCGGTATGAGAAATTTCCGGTATTGGTATACCGAAAAAATTATACCAATATTATCGGTATACCGGTTTTCCTTTGATAATTATAAAGGAAAATTCTTTAATGGAAATTTGAAGGAAATTTTGAGTAATTCTGAAAGGGAAAACGATAATTTCGAAGCTGTTTCGAACTAGTGTTTTCGAACGACACGTACTCAGTGTAACATCTCATGATGTGGAAATTCTAAATCATTGCAGTAGAAAGTTCTTTGAATTGCCATTCAGTAGTAAAATAAAGGTTATGGTTTCGCCATATAGTTGGTAAATTTAATACGATATACTGAAAAATTCCGGTATATCGGAAATTTCGGTATATCGGTATGGTTGAATATCCGGTATCGATATACCGATATTGATTTAATACCGATATTTTCGGTATATCGGTATACCGAACAGTCCTATAGTGTAAGCAAGCTTTTGTTGGTAGGGATGCAGCTACCTGAAAAATATAAGGAGAATTTCAAAAACATTTCAGGTAGTTATGTACCTACCAACAAAAGCTTGTTTATATTATTGGCACTACTTACTGTTCACTGGCACAGACATGTTAACGTTTTGTTTATCTCAGCAGCGACCGGATTTTTAGAACTGAAATCTATTGAACTGGCATTTTTTGAAGTACACTAATACACGTACTCATCCCATTGAATACGACGCTCTTCCCTTTCGCTTCTCAGATCTCTTCCGCAGAGGCTTTTTAGTAGCTCGAAGGTGCAGGAAGGTTATTGAAGCAAGCGATTGTGTATGGACATTCTGGACTAGCTTGCAACTGGCCCGCGTTTTAGTTACTAAGCAAAGCCTCAGCAAAGAAGAGTAATTGGGAACGATTCAGCCTGCTTTAAAGATGGTTTTTCGAACGCGCTTTTTTGGGCGGCATAGCCATCAAAGATGTTGCAGTAAAATACAGATGTATTAGAATACACATTTTGTTAGTTCCAATGTAACATTACGAGGTTTTATAGATTAATTTTTACTACAGGTGTTGATGATCAGAGGTTGAAGAATGGCCAGGGACACCTAAATAATACTACTGGAGGTCAAGTGACGGAGAGGGATAATATAAGAACTAGCAATACGGGACACCTAAATGGTACTACTGGAAGTCAAGTGACGGAGAGGGATAATATAAAAACTAGTAATACGGTACATTTGAATAGTGGTACCGGAGGTCAAGTGGCGGAGAAGGATAATATAAAAACTGGTAGTACAGGACACTTAAATTGTAGTACTGGAGGTCAAGTTACGAAGAGGGATGATATAAAAACTGGTAGTACAAGACACCTAAATAGTAGTACTGAAGGTCAAGTGACAGAGAGTGATAATATAAAAACTGGAAGTACAGGACACCTAAATAGTACTACTGGAGGTCAAGTGACGAAGAGGGATAATATAAAAACTGAAAGTACGGGATACCTAAATAGTACTACTGGAGGTCAAGTGACGAAGAGGGATAATATAAAAACTGAAAGTGCGGGATACCTAAATAGTACTACTGGAGGTCAAGTGGCGGAGAGGGATAATCTAAAATTTAAAACAGAAAATGGGGGTGTAAATTTAGAACATTGCAACGGAAACAACGGCAATTTTTCAAATGAAAATCAAACTCGTGTGAAAAATAAACTTGGGCTTGATGCTGAGGGAGTTCCTGATAGTCTAGCCGATGATGCGGATGATCTGGATAATATATCTAACGAAATGTGTGAAAATATTAGAACTAAGCAAACTGTTAATAGTAACAATGACAAAGGTTGTGAAGTTAACGAAAAGATTAATCGGTTAGATGATAATAGCGAAGATATTCTTTGTAATGAGATGAATATTACTGGAAGTGATAGCTGTGCGTGTGACAGCACGACCAAGGAAAGAGATACGGCATGTGCACATAAAGATCCTACTATTACAAGTGGAAACGTCAGTAAAATAACGAACCATACTGAGAAATCAAATGATATAACAGAACCGAATAAGATTAAAGTCCAAGATTTTGATGACTCGCGTCACAAAGACAACGTGGTGCAGGAAAACAAGAGTTTTAAATTAAGTTACGATGCCAAGAAACACGATTGTCGTCCTGGGTCTGTTGGTCTAGTAAATCATGCAAATCTCTGTTATATCAATTCTGTTGTTCAGTGCCTCTCGTCTGTCATAGAACTACGGACATATCTATTATGTAAGTACTGTTTTCACTCTTGTCTTTTTCAAAATCTAATATGTATGCGGGTTGATTTCATAATCTAATATGTATGCGAGTTGATTTCATAATCTAATATGTATGCGGGTTGATTTCATAATCTAATATGTATGCGGGTTGATTTCATAATCTAATAGGTATGCGGGTTGATTTCATAATCTAATATGTATGCGGGTTGATTTGCCAAGCATTTAATTATTAGTATCTCCAGGTATCTCATTGACATTTGACTAGCCGTTATTAGCCTTGATAGGACCATGTTTCCTTACTTTTTTCCATAACCCTAACCTGCGAACGGGCGTGTTCCAGATACGAGATTGTCTAAGTAGGAGTGCCAAAATGACGTCATGAACCTCAAAAATTAATGTTATAATATATAGAGTAAGGATTGGGATTGTGTTTACAATTTACATCCGTTTTCAAAAGTCAGTTTAAATTATTTTTACAATATGTCACGTGAACTGCAACGCTAAAAGACATCTTAAAATAAGGTAATTCCGCAGTAATTGTTCCCGAAATGAGAATGTGCTGAAACTTCCCAGGCATGGAGTTTATGATATACAGTACTTAAAGTAAAATCACAAAAAAAGTCGGGGTCACCGAACTCGTTAAGAAGATATGACAATCACTATACCACCTTTACCCCCAATATGGCGCCATCTTGACGCTCATTACGAGTAACAGCAAAATTGCAACAGCCCGATATTTATTGACGTTTTTAGTGCGGATTTTGCTTTAGTAAACCTATCTTGTAATTATTTTTGATCCACAAATGTCTTTTCCACATTTCTTTACATATCTTTCTTTGAGAACATGCATTGATAAAGGATTTTTTTCAAGATCCAGAAATGATTTTTCTTATAATTTCGGATATGAAATGTAAAATGCATTAAAGAAATAAATTATCAGTTAAAAAACGGGGGTCACCGATCTTTTTAGGGAATTGTGGCATTAAAACGTGAAATACAAGTAAATAAATATACTACAGACACAGGAACCCTAGCTACACTTTTGTATGCCTTTTTTGAAAACATTGATTTTAACGTAATTCTTTGCACGAATGTAACCAAAGATGTTTTGAAGTAACATAAAATTGTAATAAAATGATTTTTTTAAATGGTACGCATAATGAATGAAATTATAAGTTACAAGATATGCGCAGTAAAAGTGCGCAATGCAAAACTGCGGAATTACTCTAAACCGTTTTTAACACCTAAAGAAATATTGACACAAAATTAGCTAGATATAGAAACTAAAAGAAACAACAAACCATCGCAACAAAATATTTGTAGTGAATCACTTTCAAAGTTTGAAAATTAACATTCAGCGTAACTGTTGTATAAAAAATTTGAATTTTGTCACCGTAAAACTGATATGTCTAGTACTCTAGTTATTTTCGGCATAGTCGCGTAATTGCAAAAGGAGGTGTACAGTAAGTTGGGGTTTTAGACCCGTAAAACCATATGTACAGTACTTTTTTCGTTAGTCATTTTCGAATTATATTCTAAATGTCAATCTGTACATTGGACGAAAAAATCGTGGTAGAGAATAATTTCTTTATTTTGCGCTAGGGGAAAACACGCTTGCGGTATAAGAAACTGTGTACAGTCGATATCAATTATTTGCTATTTTCAGCTAAGAAGTACTCATCGCATATCAATCGTGATAATAAGAATGGTTATCATGGAGAGCTAATCAGCGCCTTCGATTCTTTAATACAAGAACTATGGTCGGGAAAGGAACGCTCTGTTTCGGCGTCTAAATTAAAGGTAAGCGCCAAGAGTGGAAAAAGTGTTATATTATTGCGATTGCTGAGTGTACTCGATATTAATGAGGCGAACTACTAAATTATTTCATGCTTTTGTTTGCAAATTTTATATTTATTGATAAAACATTTGAAGTTATAAAAAGATTAAAGGCCCAAGAACAATATTACACTGGTCAAAGCATAATTGGAAAGATTTCTTAACTTTCTTATGAAGATTCTTGTCTTAATTTAACAAGTCTTATTGTACCATGAATAAGTCGAAGTATAGGAAACAAACAGCTGGCGAAAATTCTTGACTGAGCCCACAATGCCATCCAATCATTGCTCAGCATGTACATGGACGTTTTTGCGGTAATTTCCCGCATCATGTTATAGCAGTAAGTTTTTCAGGGTTCGACGAAGAGGCACTACAAGAAAGTGTTTCGAAAACTAAACAAGGACATCTCTTGGTTTCCTAGTGAAAATAAAAATTAGCCAAATACCCCCGAATGCAACCTCGTTCCCACGCTCTTCCCTCTTGGGGAGGAAAACCCTGGTGGACGCTGGTCACGTGACCCATAGAAAATTGATAGCCCAAGAGGGGGATAGAAAAGTCTCATATTACATGTTTCCACTTGCGCGCTTCACAATTCGATTACAAAGAGTGGCCGTTTTGTATTATCATCTTTGAGAACCATATATACTTCAAAATACTTGTTAAATTGGTTTGTGTTTGCTTTTAAATTATACAAACATGCTAAAATACAGATTCTAATAGCAACAGACAAGTCAGGAAATCAATCAAAGAAAACGTATGACCGTATGATTTGAAATATTTGCCCTTTTATTCTCTCGGGATTCCGGCGTAGTTTTTCGCGCGTACGTTTCTGGCTCTGGTCCAGATATTTATAATATCCTTTATGTAATAATATGGAAACGGTATCAATTTTGTTAAATAGAGGTGTCAAAATCGACTGTGTTGGTCGTAGAGCACTAGCGCCTTTATACTAATCCTACAGAAAACGTTACACATTTGGACACTATGACAATAGATATTGACTGCCAATTCTATCGATTCTAAAACTGTTTATAGACATAGTGCTCTAGATTTTTTTAAAAGGTTATCATCGTTTAGGCCAATGAAAATTGATATCATGTTTCTCGTCCACAATTTTCAAAAATTTGGAGCGCGATTTTTTCATTTTTCATTGTTTTTTGTATTTGAATTGCTTGTCAATAATTTCCTTGAACCAGTAAAAAACCTCATAAAAATCTGAAGTAAATCGGTATATAATTCATTTCAATTTAATACGTCCTACACTACAGTATATTTCTATACATACCAGGGCTGACATGAAAAATAGAGGCATTCTGGCGAGTAATATCACAAGAGGCCCAGGCTCGATTTGCCCGCGCCTGCCTGTGCCTTCCTTATAACGAGGGAAGGAAGGAAACATTGAGACCAAAATAGCCCAGACTTGGCATATGTCACACGAAACTATCCTCGATTTTTCGCCTTTAATGCATTTCTTTCACGATTAATCGATATCCCCTGCAAGAATGATACCGTATAACTCTCAAAACAACGATGCTTTAATCAAAGAGCTTAAATTCGCTCTGAAATCCGTGAGGGAATAACAAAATTCGCCCAAAATATATCCGCGTGCCGGGTTTGCTGGACAAAAAGCGGAAGTCGTTGAACAACTCAAAATACACTCAACCCTGATTGGACAGCGAAAATCAACAAACATTTCAAATTTCTGTAGTCAGTAATGTAATATAAATTTGAATCAAAACAATTAACAAATGTTGTCGGGGGGGAAACCAGTGCAAATCTAAATATTTAAATTTAAGAAGTTTAGTCAGTATAATAACGTTTGTGAATTGTTTTGATTCAAATAATCAAATTATTACAGTACTGTTCCAAGTACTGTCCCCCTTCCCAGTGCCAGTGGAGAAAAATTTGAAATGTTTGATTTTCGTTGTCCAATCAGGGTTGAGTGTATTTTGAGTTGTTCAACGACTTCCGCTTTTTGTCCAGCAAACCCGGCACGCGGATATATTTTGGGCGAATTTTGTTATTTCCTCACGGATTTCAGAGCGAATTTAAGCTCTTTGATTAAAGCATCGTTGTTTTGAGAGTTATACGGTATCATTCTTGCAGGGGATATCGATTAATCGTGAAAGAAATGCATTAAAGGCGAAAAATCGAGGATAGTTTCGTGTGACATATGCCAGTCTGGGCTATTTTGGTCTCAATGTTTCCTTCCTTCCCTCGTTATAAGGAAGGCACAGGCGGGCGCGGGCAAATCGAGCCTGGGCCTCCTGTGATTATACATTAGTCTGATCCCCCATTTAATAACATACGAGCCTTTAGTCCTGGACTAGGGTACATTTTGCTTTACGTTGGACAAAGCTACAGTTTGGTCGGACACCAATACACTCGGGTCGGACAAACAATAAACCTCAGTTTCACTCAGGTCGGACAGAATGTCCGGTATAGTTTCCTCTCTACGTCGGACAATTTCACGAATGGGTCGGACAATGTCCTTGACCGATAGATATTTTAACGCCTGATTCTTATTCTATTCCCGTTTCCATCTGTTCTATTCGGATATATTTGTAACGTTGTTCATTTAACCTAATATAGTTCTATTATCATTGAAGTAATACAGTACCCTGGGCAAAATTCTCCACATACCTCTTCTTGGGCTGTATCCATGGACTTTGCATGTCTTTCTCGTCTCCTAAAATAGTACACCTGTTCGTCAACAATTATCCACTCATTAGAATAACAATATAACTCATCATACATCTATGTTTTAGTCAACGTTTACTCATAAACCGACCATCCTTCGGGTAAATTGGAAATCGCTATGCTATTAGTGGATTTGGCAAAAATACAATACACACGTGACGGTGAAAGAACCAGATTTATGAATAAACGTTGACTAACATAGATAATGAGTTATATTGTTATTCTAATGAGTTTCATAGCCAATCTACCCTTTGATAGGCTATGAGTTACATACACCGCTGAGTTTCTAAATTTGGAATATTGGACGTGGAATTTGCAAAGCCAACTTCGCAAATAATTTCCATATTAAATTCAACGCCAACATTCCAAATTTAGAAACGTAATTTATTGGGAATATTCACAACAAAATCGAGCCGAAATCGACAATAACACACGAAGTATTTATACTTACATCCCAGATAATTCATGTTCTGCTTTTTCTAAAAGCACCGTCAAAAATTCCACATCGCCAGGCACATGGACATGTTTATGTAGAGGACATTTTGTCAATCCTTCGTATAAACTTGGACAGTATCTATAACGTATATGAGATTCACAGCTATTGGAATTTAATAGGCAAAATTTCCGAAAGCCGAAAATTGCCTCCGTTATGATTGACAGAGGTAGAAAAAGTATATCGGAAAGTGGAAACCTACAGTAGTTCCCAGAAATTTGGGGGAGGGGGGATCTACATAATTCTTTGCGGTTACAGTAGAAATAATTTACCCTTTTACTTTTTCCGCATCGATATCTCCCGTTAAAATACCAAAAGCTTTCAAAACTTTACGCTTGCATTCTGTACAAAACCTAAAGAAACGGAAAAGGTTCGCTTAAAAAAATTCATTGAACTCTAGCATCTGTACGATTCTTGTCCCCAGACTGCCAAGTGTTGGATGTGGCCCCTCGACCCTAAGCCTGCCACCTTTCAAGGATTGGCTGGCGACCTTCGCGAAAATAAAATGTAGAGGCATGCAATTATATTGGTAGCCTGGTCTTTTGTGTTCACAGTAGGAATTTTGCAATATTCGAAAATTCTAAGTTTTGAAGACGTTCAGATTGAGTTGCCGGCACTGGTGCTCAATGTTCAAAATGGTTCCCAAAACATGTTGAGCACAGTGCCGTTGTTGAGTGCCACCTCTAGAAGTAGTGCCCTTTCTTGGGCACCGTGACCAATTTCATTTGGAAAGTGACGGGGACCATTGCCGGGCACCCAGTCTGTGAACGCAGCCTAATTTCAAATCCTTCCGATCGCTCTTCACCCACAGTAAAGTTTATATTCAGTATCCAATCATTGAAATTATGGCTGTATAACAACCTCGACATGTTTACATATTTAACCATGATATTTAACAAATAAAAGCATTCCGATTATTTTCTCGTGAGCTCACAAATCAATTAAATCGTTTCAATCTTTGGATATTCGGACTATTATGTTGACCAAGGCCGGATTCTGAGGGGAGGTGTGGGGAGGCGCACACTTCCTCTGAGATCGTTTACCCCAGTATTTCCACCAGAATCGGGTCTTGATGTTGGCTAAAAAATAATTGTTGACTCTTGTACCTGTTTTTGCGCAGGTGATTCTCCAGCGCATCCAAAAGTGTGTCAGAGTTGATTGTCAGTACCTAAACCAAAGGATGAAATTAGAAGATTTGGCACAAACTGGTGGACGTTTCTTGGAAATTTTCAAGACAGGCAAGGAGAGGTATGCTATATAATCATCTTTACTTGTAGCTGAGAGCTAAGCTGACGCAGCTCAACCTGATCGAGTCGAAGGCTTTCTAAGGGCGCCTTTGGAAGCCACCTTATGACTCATGTCTAATCACCAAGGGTGGGTAGTAGCGAAGTAGTTGTAGTTCGCTACTGTAGCGAATTACAATTTTCAAGTAGCCAGTAGTTTTTGACTACTTTTTTTAAAACAGTAGCTGTAATTATAGCGAACTACATTTTGCCTAAAAGTAGCCAAGAAGTTGGCTACTTTTCAAACAGCGAATTGTTAATCGCTACTTTTTAAAATTGTTAGTAGCCTGATAGAATAGCATGATATTGAGACACGGTCTGCTTAAAATCAATACTCAATAGTCAATTTGCACGCCTGAACACGGTAGTGCTTTCAAAAATGTTGCTTTGTGTTTACTGTTGTTACTCGTAAATCGATTTGTTATAAATGTAGGTTACATTCCAGCCTGAGTTAATAGATGCTCCAAATACAGTAAAACTAAAAAATATAGAGTAGCGAAATAGCGAAATAGTTCGCTACATTTTTTAAGCAGTAGCTGTAGTCAGTAGCGAACTACCTTTCTTTAAAAGTAGCAGTAGTTGTAGCTGACTACATATTTTTGAAGTAGATGTATTTATAGCGAACTACAAAAAATTTGTAGTCAACCCACCCTTGCTAATCACAGAGCTCAGCTACGGTAGAAGGGCCAGTTATAGCGACAATGGTGTTTTTTGCCATACTGTACAGATATTTAATGCTAAGACATATAAGAGGGGTAAGTGTAAGAGGGGTAATCTAACATCTTTGCAAGAGTTTCATTTTCACATTGGCAGCATCACTTGCCCAACTTTCAAATCACAAAACACCACTCAAATTTATTAAACACGTCCAAGGTGGAACCCTAATGATCGGCTCCACAAATAATTAAATTACAAAAAAATGTTCTCCTCATGAACGTAGGGGTGAAGAAAATAGGAATAACACATGAAAACGAAATTACAGTTAAGTTTTTTGTGATGTTAAGTAGTACTGCTCTCTGCTGTATATTGTCTGACGATCCTTGTGATACTGTACCAAACAGCCAGTGGACTATTTTATGACAAAAAGTTAGTGACGTTTTATCCAAGCACCAACGTATTAGGGACAGGTCATTATTTATGGCGGAGGGTGGCACTGAAGAGAAATGTTTTCCGTGTCAAAAATTTTGCTGACCCAACCATTAAAAAGACAAAAATTTGATTACCCAACCTCAAATATCAATTAAAAAATAACTACCCGCCCCTGGCCAAAAACTTAACAAAAGGATACCATTCAGTTGTCATACATGTCCTCTATCACTTCAGTGACATGAGTTTGATAACGGCTTGTGAAATGTTCTGCAGTCTAAAGTTTCATGTTGTCTGCACATGTACTTTCTTTGGAACACAATTTGTTTTGTCAAACTATGATCAAGATAGTGACTCTGATTGATTCACATATTGTATTGACAAATGACTGTTGACATTGCTTTTCAGTCTCCAATATTTCAGTGGGTCATGCTTTGGAAATGACAGTAAATTTTTATTACCCAACCCTTGAGTTGTTTTGTTTGTCATTTACCCAACCTTTTACTCACTCAAAATTTTGTTTACCCAACCTTTTTCTCTTCGGTGCCACCCCCCGCCATAAATAATGACCGGTCCCTTATCCAAGGACTACTATCCGGTATCTGGCAAAGTATCTGGCACATCCCTATAGTATAAAATAATTTTTACCTCATCCTGGCATTTCTGTGATAATGCTTCCCACACATCAACCCAGCACCTGAAAGTTTGAAACAACCATGAATCCATGTAGGGCCATTGTTTGAAATCTCTCAGGTCGAATAGACCACAGGGTTTGGTATCCAATAGACATACTTACCCAATAGGCGTTCTAGACTTATGGGTTTCTAGTGAATGGAGCAGACATCTCCTGGAGAAGAAATGGTTTATTAAGCGAGTAATATAATATACATGGGAAACATTGAGAAAACTAACTATTTCCCGAGACAACAGACATTAAGTGTTTTGTTATATAGTGACGAAATAAAAATCAAACAAGATTCACACAACAGTTGTATTTCATGACAAAAACAGTGCAGTGTAAACGAATTTAAAATTAAAAGAACCACTTTAAAGGACTTTTGCAATAAATAATTAGTTTACTTCATTTGAAACAACTCTTAAAACTATATATTAAACTCTATAACAGATTGTTTATATCTTGCTTAGCTTTCAAAATATTTCGACTGAAAAAAGCAAGCTGTTCGCCATTTTGGATTATTGAGGATATATCATCTTGAGAGTAAGCGATTAATATGAGTCCAAAACTTCGTTTCTGGTTGCTGTCTGAAATTTAGAAATGATTAAAAATATTTCAAACAATTTTCGATTGTTACTCGGTCATTTTAGAGTAGTTTTATATGGTCATTAACTCAACTGCTGACGTCATCAAAACCATAGTTAATGAGGTCAAGAGTTATAGTCCAAGATGGCGAACAGCTCATTAATTTCGGTCTCAATATTTCGAGAACTAAGCAAGATATGACAAATCGGTAATAGAGTTTAATATATAATTTTAAGAGTTCTTTTGAATGAGACAAACTAACTTTTTATTGCCAAACATGATTGCCTAACTTTTTATTGCCAAACATGGCTGATGGACAAATGACGTGGCTTTGGACAAATGCAATGCATCCCGCTGGGCAACAAGTGAAAAATTGTTGCTCGCCCCGACCGGCTACGTACATAAATAAACAAAATGGCGGCACGAATCGCGACTTTATAAACTACGATTTTCAAAGTTGTGTTAAAATTAAAAGAGAAGAAAAATACACAACAGGCAACGGGATATGCTGCTGAAATCGTTTAAAAAACACGGTGTTCACCCTAGCTTTAATATAACAAAACATGTTGTTGCAGTACCTGTTTCTTCTGCATTTTGGGATGCTTTCAAGAATTTCATTTAGTTTTGAGCTGCGAGAGAAAAGAAAACATAATTTTCATGGGCACAAGCGTGTCACAGATTTTACAATAATTGTAACGTCTGTGGCACGTTGTAGTCTACAGGGGTGGTCACTGGTAAAGGTATTTGTGGGAGGGAATACACGTTTAATGATTCATATTCAATAAAAAACAACACATTTGGACATTTTTGTTGCAGAGTCGCAAACAATTACATTTGAAACAAAATAGTAAGGGTACTTTTCAATATAGCTTGAAAGTAAAAAACTGTTTTGATAATAATGCTATTAACAAATAGATAAGATTTTGCCGTTGTCTCTTCAGTTATAGAAGAGACCTTACGATTTTAGGACGGCGACGGCCAAAACAAACTCCTTCAAATAAATGGTAGTAAAGATAGTTCGTCGTATATTATCAATCGTATGAATTTTATACAGTTTTAGAAGTTGAAAACATCTGTTTTATGGTTGGGAAGAGTTCTGCTAAACCCATTTTGAAGTTGCACTTGTTGTGGCTTGGAATGCAGCCGTTGTATCAAGACGTGAAAATCTGTGATTTAGCGTTGTAAACAGAGCGAGGACAACGTCTAAATTATTCATATATTGTAATTACTCAATTCTTTTCAATGATCTATTGTATTGG